TAATTAGGTTAAATTAAGTTACCTTGCTTCTACGACTTCTAGTGAACATCCTGACTCTGAATCTGGGAGAAACACAAATCATGCATTGAAGTGCTTACCGAGTACAAAATTTACAAGTACTGTTCAAATTGTGATTGAAAAGATTTCACATAGGGTCCAATCCAGTTTACATACACCAAGAAGAAGGAACAGTATAAAACGGGGCTGTGCCTCAGCAGAGCCTAGTCACCACAAGGGCAGGGCTCGACACTAATGGCAGCCCACTAGCCACAGACTAGTAGAAATTCAGTTTTGGCTACTGGTTTTCAACTTCCACTAGCCAGTTTGCCTAGTAAACAGACTGAAATCGTCATAACATCTAAAAACATCTAAGATGTCACTAGCCACTTGGCTAGTAAGTTGAAAAGTTAGTGTTGAGCCCTGCAAGCAACAATCTTTTGCATTGGGTAACCTGTATACCTTCGCTGTTACATTAGGCTTTCAAAAACTGACCATCTTAGATTTTACCTTAGATTTTTGATACCAGTCTAAATCTTCACAACAGTGTTTCTTTTTAGAGAAAACTTTGTAGAACTCTCCAATAAGAGTGCCAGGTGGGTTCAAGTTGAAAATTTTGAAAGGAACGTGCAAAGAGAGCAGGAATATCATGCTGTGTTTTTAAAGGCTGATAGTTTCGAAAGAAACTGTTTGGGGCTGCGTCGGTGGGAGTAACGAAATAATTTGGATATATCAACAAAAGTTGAAATGGTAAATTGGCCACCGTAATGATTACAAAAGCTGACGTTTCGAGCGTTAGCCCTTCGTCGGAGCGAATAGAGGAATTGTGGGTTGTGTGTGCTTTTAAAGGCAGAAAATGGAGCTACGTTATTGGTGGGTGCATGGCAACGAGAAAAACATAAATAAATTAGTGGAATGAAAAAACCGTGCAGGGATGTTGACCATGAATAGCAAAAGGAAGTGACTAAAAATTATCTAACCAGAGTAGTAAAGTATTCAGTCACTTTATGTCAATGAACTGTATTTATTTTTAAAACGATGAGGGAATTGTTGGATTCTTCAGTTTGTTCCATTTTATGTTTGCTTTCCGTGCTCGACCGAGGAAATAGTTTTCGACATTCTGTGCCCCAGCCATTTCTCATAACTGTCAAAACTAGATACCACGGTTTTGCATCTTAGTAAAGACCAAAACGTGAATAGGACAATCACATGACTTTTGGAGAGCATATAGTTTCTTTAATTTGTGGCCCGAGTTAGCATCATTTTCTCTCGAGCGGAGCGAGGGGGCAAATGATGCTACGAGGGACACAAAGAAACTATATGCCCTCCAAACTTCATGTGATTATCATTGTTATCAATACACAAGGCCAAATCGTACAAATTCATTTAATAAAATATATATCGGGGCGGTAAATGTCATTTACAGCCCGCACTTTGCCGTTTGGCCCGCGAAAAGGAGCGTTTTAGAGGGAGCAGTTTGTCATTTGGCGGTGTGGTGGTAATAATGTGTATTCAAAGCAAACCCAGACATACTCTAGCGTCTGACATCATCCTTGTAGAAGATTATTAAATCTATTATATGTAGCTGTGGGCAAAGCTCATCCACTGATCTTTTTCCTATAGTTGGAGAATAGGCTATATGTTTGCGACCGATGAGATTTATGACAATTCGGTTTATTCGAAGAGCAATTAGTATGAACTTATTCGCCACCGACGTTTACATTGTTTATTGCCTCACTGACAGTCTTGTGCCTGAATAAAACTGCTGTCGCGATGCCGGGAAAAAAACAAAAAACGCCATGAGTTACTCTATTCCTGCTCATGAACGGGGTTAACGTTTTACCTGCTTCTTATGGTTAAGACAAGGCAATGATTAGTAAAGCAGTCTAAGACGAATGAAATGGTCTCAATAGTCTTAAAGCACTCAGACAGCTACATAATAGGAAACCCAATATAACTTTACTCACAACTCAACAATGAAAGAAACACTAAAAATACCTCATTAACAACGATTTGTCATGAAATAAACTGTGTTGCACAAATTAATCTCACGTAATCCTGATTTTTTTATTTTTATTTTTATGGGAATGCTTAACATACGAACATACGATGGTAAAGTCACGAATGTAGCGGATGGAAGCACCATTGCAGGAGAAACTGACCCCCAAATGGATTGATATCAGACAATTTTAAAATAGAGGTGATCATGCAAAGCACGTTGCTGATATGCGTTAATTCATTTGTGTTTAAATATAAATCACATGATATGACTTTACTTTCTAAAGAAATTATGGAAAGCCGCTACTTTCAATATCTTCTCTCTCAGCATGGAGTCTAAATTTATTTTACGGTCAGCTTTTGTCCTCAACATAATATCAAAGAGTGCATGATAAGAATCTTTATATATTTTTTTTTTTGTTAATGGAAATGGAGCCTGACTGAAAACAAAGATACAAAAAAAAGAAAACATTTATAGTTCCCTTTGTTAAAGATCTCTTTCCATCATTTTCTCCCTCAATTTGGGCTTATTATCCACGGTCAGGAAAAGGTTCTACAACTTTCAATAGCGTCCACAATTACGTCCGGTATTAGCCTCACTGATTCACCAAGTCTCTGCACTTAGTAAATGACTTCAGGATACAATTAAGTCAGAAAAATGCTGTGTAGAGATATTTCTGCGGGTAGTCTTTGTCCTTTTGAACTGAAGTGTTGCAGTCTAGCGTGGTTCATGGATGAGCGCGTCTTTTTGACAAAGCATCTAATTACACTTCGCTTTTTATAGGATCCGGTCATTGAAGTGTTTTCCATAGCTGCATGAAATAAAAATAACTACTCCTGCGTGGGTTACTATTCTCGTTAACTATTTGAACGAGCTACTTCTCATTGTCGTCATTCGTCTTCGTAAATAAACCTTTTTGAATTGGCGAGGTCGAAGACATGTGTCCGTCCTGAAGCTAAAGTTCTGCTATCAAATTCGTTAATTGAAGCCAAAGGATCAAGATCATGGCCTGATCGACTGTCACTGTGCGCGATAGGTAAGCTATGTAATTTATTTAACTTCTTTCAAGGTCTTACTATTAAATCATGTCTTCATCTGCTGTTTTTTCCGTTAGTGTATTCACGAGGCACGAGGTTCAAAAGAAAATTTAAACCGGAACCGTGTCAAACTCGTAACTGAAATCTACAAAAAAAGAGAAAAAAGAAATCGGCTCTAACTTTAAATGTTTGTGCGATGTTGCTAGGAACATGAATACTTTCTAAGTTTCAAAAGTATGAGATTTTTCGCTCGTAAATTCAAGTTGAAAGAAACAGCGCCGGACTCAGGTACCTTCAGTATAATTAGTTGCAAGAGTAACGCCTGTAGACCAAAAAAAATTCCATTCATCAAAATTATTTTCCTCTGTCAAGTTCAGTGAGTATCTTAGTTTATGCACATTATTGTGTGCGAACAATTGCAATGTTTCTTACTCAAACGTGATTTCATTTCAACGTTCTATTATGCTGATTGACTCTGTTAAGCAGAAGTCCTCGGCGGAATTTTTCGAACAAAAAATTGACAAATTCATTTATAAAAGTTATTTCTTGGAGTTTACTTATCAGCACATTCGTGGGTGATAATCATTTGCCCAGGTAGCCAGTTAACGCTGAGATTTCATTCTTTTCGACTTGATTCTTAAATCACACTGTGTTAATATATGAAGATGTTTGTATAAACAGCTCTGACAGTTTTATGTAATGGCCGCAGTTGGCTATAAAACCAATCTCCTCTTGTTGCAGATCTAAAGGGGAACCATTATAACTTCAAGAGTTTGAAATGGAAAAAGCAATTTCAAACTCTTCCGACCTCTTTGGGTGCACAAATTGCTCTAACGATAACTCTCAAGTCCAATGGACATTGACATTCGCCTCTGTAATAACCTTATCTACGATCAGCATTGCTGGTGCCATTGTGGGAACGTTAGGAAATGGCCTTGTCTTGCTGGCCATCACAAGGAACGTCAAATTTCGTTCAGTTCCAGACTTCTTGATCTTCAGCCTTTCAACAGCCGACTTGATAGTATCAGCAATATATGTGCCTTTTCACGTCAAAAACTTAATTTGCTTTCCAGTTCTGAAAGACAGTGCTACATACAACATGATAATGAAATTTGTAGGCAAGTTAGCCTTGCTTGCTTCCATCGTTAATGTGGTTGGGATCACAATAGACCGTCTGACGGCGATCCGATGGCCATTACGTTACCACAAACTAATGACCAAGAAGTTTGCTTTCTCTTACATTTCTTTTGCCTGGTTGACATCTGCAATCATCGCTGCAGTCTTTTCATTTGCCGAAACCAATCAAGAAATTTTCTTGGGGATCTATTGCATGACTCTACTTTTAGCCACGATTTTCATGTACTCATACATTTTAAGGGTCGCGCATGCGCAGCGTATACGAATTATAGCGATGGTACATGGAGAAAACCAAGATAGATTTAGCAAGCAAACTCCTGATTGCTTAGAGGTTAAAGCAGCGAAGATATTAAAGGAAAGGAAAGCTGCGAGGACATTTTCAATTGTGGTTGGTGCCTTTGTAGTGACATGGATTCCACTCATATTCTATTCAGCAATTGCTCCCTGGTCTGAAAGTTGGTACTATGAAGGTTTCGAATGGGCCAAAACTTTCTCACTATGGAACTCCTTCTTAAATCCCTACATTTACTTTGCCCGAAGCAAGCGATATAGACAGACAGCTTTGCAGATGCTACAAATTGTTAAGTGCTGGCCATGTCTCCCTGCTCGCTGGCCTCAAGTCGGCGTGGAAATATACGGAGAAACAACGCCTAACAGCTGAATCGCTGCCACCCTTGGCATGGTCTAGATCTCCGACAAACTCATTCATCTAATTTGATTGCTGCTCGTTTATTGATAACCCTAGCCGACCGATTTCAATAAGATTTTCTAAATTCTCTGGGAAATACATCGAAAATTAACTATAGTATCAATAATTCGCTTTGCACGTGGAGCCTAAGCAGATTTATCAAATACAACACCTTCATTTTAAATTTTCCATAGTTTTTTTTCTTCCTCTATCTATCCTTCCCCTCCTCTCCTCTGTTCCAATCCCATCCCCTCCCCCCCTACGTACGTTGTGAATTTCAGCCATGGTGGGGCTTGAAGTCATTCAAGACGAATTGAGATCAACAGCCTTGATTGGTAAAGATGATACAGGGTAGGCTATCTAATAGGAATGGAAAACTTGTTAAGAGCTTTTTAAATACCGACATGCTCTTGTAACTATTGACCGCTCGTGATCACCCGACTAATTCATTCCCGTACAATCATGCATCACGAACCGTCTTTGAGAAAAAAGCATTTCACCAAAACACGCGGAACATATGATGTTTCTAAAACCATGAACTGGGAATAAGGAACGGAAAGGGTATGAGAATCAATCGAATTTAGAAGTAGGAACTACATACCCCCTACAGAGCACCTTGGGCCGGGAGTGTAAGCCTTTCTTGCGGACTCAAGAAGACATAACAATCTGAAGGCGAAGATGAGAAAAGCATCTGTTGTCTAATCAGAAATGGGAGTGAAGGTTGTATTTAAAATTCACATCATGTTACCGTAATATTTTCGTGACATAAATTGTTGTTCAAATGTTATTCAGCCTTCGACGAGAAATTTTCTGACACTCACCTCTACGAAGACCCGATATATATTGCAACGGCAATTTATGTCAGGGTAAAACTTTTAAATAACCTAATTTTTAAATAATTATGTGAAAAACGCCTTCAGTAAAATCTACCTTCATTGTCAAAGATGATTGTTCCACCGACCTATTTGTAAGGCTCCACTTACCAGACCCTTTCCTTTATTTATAATTGCTATGCATATTACCTTTATACTATCAGTCCCAGTCTTCCCCCCACTAAGTTCAAATTGTATTTCATTGTGCTCATCGGGCATTCTGGGTATTTGGTAGAACCTGTACACCAAATATTGGTCATAGATTTGGGTAGTGTTAAGCCGTCTGAATTCAACCGCTTGCAGAAAATGAGTGCCTATATCTTCTGAGGTAAGTGGAATCCAGTATAATACGCTGTGGAAATTAATAGCAGTTGAAAACAAGTATCAGACGCGCAGACATCGTAAATTTCGCTCTGATCCTTTAATTACTTTATAGCCGCTTTTATTTTGTTGGACAGAAAGCATGAATATAGCCAATCACATCCATTATCTAGAGAATAGATAAAACAAATTATAAAAAACTAGATCATTGGATAATGCAATTCAAGACTTTTTATTGGCTTAGCCATTATGGTATAACAGCCAATATACCATAATCTACAAATATGGTAAGCATACGTGGCAGCTTAAAATTAAAAGGGAGCTAAAAATTTGATAAAATTTAATAATTTAATTTAACGTTTTTAATAAAACAATTATTCCACTCGCGCTTGTTGGATATGAGATGATTATAGCGAACGAGGCGCGTAGCGCCGAGTTGGCTATCTATCATCTCATATCCAACGCGCGCTCGTGGAATAATTGTTAAATATTCGGTTGAGGTGTACCTCTCAACAGAAATTTGTGAGATTGAGATATATATGTATGTATAATTATATAAGAAAGAGTTTGAAAGAAAATATGCATCACTGTGGATATCATAAAATGGCCCCTCTGAAGTCAAATATCTTAACTCAAAGTAAATTGTGGGAAAAACATTATTATCCAATGCTAATTTGCCCCTTTTCTAGTTAATTTAAGTTCAGAAGGAAATAAAGTAAGAAAGAAACTGCAATCCATTCTGCGGAGGTATACATGATTTACAAATTTTTAGGGAAATGCCCACTTTAGCTTTCGATCTTGATTCGAGTTATCAGTCAAGGGTTTCTCACTAAAACGGTAAATGTCTGTGTCAGTGTTACCGCTACAGTGAGTCATTCCCTGGATAATCTCTTCAAGTGTCGGGCACATTTAGTTAATTGTCGCTTTGCTTAGCTGTTACCAAAAAACAATCTTCTTTCTGATTGCGAAACATTTATGTTTCACTTTTCAACCGCTAAACTGCTGGTCTTCATCAAACCTCACAAAGCCCAGTAAAAAATGTCTTCACTTCCCCAGCAAATTGTCGAGGTCACAGTTCGGTTCCATGACTTAAAGATTTCAGGAGAATCTGATAAAAACGGGGAAGCATCGCGGGTTTAATCAATTATTCATTTGATTTGTTTCTCAAAACTGCTGTTTGTAGAAGTCATGCCAAGTCTCCTAGCTTGACCCTTTCGTTTATTTTTTATACACACATTATTGCACATGAGGTTGCCGAGCGGGATCTAGGATTTGTGCGCAAGGAGTTCTATCGGGAACCGATTGAGACGAAGCGGTGGGGGATCCTACCGCGAAAATGTTTTTAAGAGCAAATCCGTGCAAAAATCAAACATTGCATGGCAAAGTTAAAAAACTAAAACTCGCTGTTCTTTTGCATACAAGTAGCCTTTAGAAAGTACACAATTGCTGTGTAGTTTTTTCCTTGAAAAAATTATTTGTTTCCGCGGGATCGATTTAGCGACACCGAACAGGTCTAAAATAGGTCATGATTCACTCGAGTCGCAGATCAAAACAACTGCGCTAGAAAAGGCTATCATAGTTCCAAGTTGTGAAGGTGTAGTCTGATCGTCCGGGTGAGTGTAGTCCTGAGAAGGACTGTTGTCGGTGGCAGTGACTGACGTTTCGACAACCTAAACGTAAGTCACTGCCACCGACAACAGTCCTTCTCAGGACTACACTCACCCGGACGATCAGACTACACCTTCACATGTTACCCCCGGGTTCAAACCATTTACTGAATAGTTCCAAGTTGTTGTACAACTTGTCATAGTCCAAACACCGGGATTTCATAAAGATTAGATTAATCCCAGTATTCAAGAGAAGTCAAAAGCTCATGGCTCTCCCGTGTTGCGTAAAACGGTGCCTTTGTTCAGAATTTCGTAAGATTATGAATGACAATACCAAAGTTGATAATCTTTCAAAATATGTGAAGTTTAGTTTGGGGAAATGAAATTGGGATTTTTTTACAATTTTTTGAAAATCGCGAAGAAAGACAAAATCACGTTATCCAATTATGTATATGTGACCATCAAGACATTGATATTAAAAAATAAGTACGACTCCGATGCATATAGCAGAGTAAATGTAATGACCTTAACTCAAATATTATATTCTTAGCTGTTTTTAAGTGTGACATTTTCACCGTCGCTTTACTGGTTGCGGCTCGGTGAAAACGGCTGCTCCTGAAAACTTCTAAACTTTGCAATTTGTGTTCATTGTGCGCTTGATACGACGTGTTGGTGTTCTTTGCGACAAACTTCATTAAAACTGATCGAGGCGACAATTTAAAGCTTATGTTCAGAGTTTTTTATCGTGGATCCTGTTCATCATTTATCCGTTGTTTGCTTTCGCTTGAATCTATAAAAAAATTTGCACAGAGGCTGAACTGGCTTGCGTGACTGTTGAATCTGATCATGGGGTGGGGGGAAAGGAAGTATGAGGTCTCTCTCTATAATTCGTTATTTTGAGGTAGAAGATTTCTCTTTAGATCGCTAATAAACTATTTTACCAAGAATTTATCTTTCTTGTTACTTACTTTTGAATAATCGAACACCTCAATTATATGCAACTAAATTAACCTCATTTGTGCATGTTCATTTCCCACGTAATAAACATTCTAAACTTAAGAAAGACAATACTTTGCGTGTTCCTGCTCTTGGGGAAATGATGGAAGTTTTTATTCTTACGAGAGTATAGTCGGCAGTCCATGTTCGTACTGATTTATCCTATATTGTCGCGCTATGCAAATTACGTAGTGTAGTTCTGTCAATTAAAACCATCGAGACATCTTTCCTGTTTTGAACTGAGTTGACTGAAAACTTCAGAACAACTACATCATTCATTAATTACCTTTTTACGCATTAATTTTTAAGACGTTAGCTATATCAGGCCCTCCTCTGGCCTCCACCCTCCTCCCCCCAGCCCCTTCTTGCTAAACTGGCCCATTCTATTTCAATTTACAAAAGCTTGAATCTACCTTGGCATCCACAAGGAAAAGTGATGGAAGGATCAAAATTACTTTTAATTCTCCAATTATGGCTTCATTGCAGTATCATCCATAGTAAGTTACTTCATCGTTTTAACCTGAATTGCCAACTGAATCATACAATTCCCTCGCAACATGTCCTTTAGGAACTGCTCTGATTTACTGGGTCATGAAACCTTAATCGAGTTGAGGGATTTTCAAGAGCACAACTGCACAATAATGAGCGTTACTGTCGTAATCGTTAACTGTCATACATGGAATGGTTACAAATTAAGCGCGGACCACGGCGCACTTTTTGTCAGGGTTAAAGGCATAATAGCCAACGCGGGATGTGTAAAGAGCTCTCATCATCCACTGGAAGGTTGTTTCGCCGGTAAACCGAGACAAAGTGCAGTCTATTGCTCTTATGAAATAAGCTTAAATTGTTTCAACTTCCTATGGGTTTACCGGTATAATAACCGATAGGTTTTTTTGACCAATCAGATCATTTAATCTTTTTTAAGAGTGGATAAACTTCAGACAGAGAACTTACCTAAGTGTTTTACCGTGATTTCGAAAGCAATTTTATTAGGCTTTAGCGACTTTCTCTGGGTAACTTTCATTTTTGCAGAATCAATCGATTGATCTGGTGGAGGGTAATTTCATTTTTTTCTCTACTGTACTCCTTCCCATTCACCGATTATCTCGTGGAATTTTTTAATTGGCTATTCTTTTCTCCTCACAGCTTGTAGAGGGCCGTGCTTGTACTTTAGCGTTGGAAATACCATAAATAGTATCAAGCTGTCCGCTGGGCCAACCACTTCCAATTAACTGCCAATGAGCGGGGGGGTTCATGATTATAATACAGAGTTTTATGGGAGGAGGGAGGGGATCAGGTGCCTAATGCTTTCGTTCAGACACAATTGTCTGCTCTTTCCGAATTCTATGATACATGTAAAAAAAAAAAAAAGGAAATAGACAGTTTAACGTGGAGAAACACTTAGCTAGAAGCTAGTTTACAGGTTTTCCACCAAACAACTGAAACAAATGATTCGATTTGAAAATAACACTACTAAGAATTCCAACTGGCCGAAGGCAAAGCAGTTGGCTATATTACAAGCATGGCCGAGAATTCGAAACTCGGGGCTATCGTGAAACAAATCCGGGTAGTGGTCAGTGCGGGACTTGAACCCTGGAGCAGCGAATTGCAAGTCCGACACGCTGACCACTCGACCACGCTGCCTTCTACATGTAGCATCGGCCATTGCAACTATACAAACCTGCATAAGTATATTTACCATTTGCTGAGGGCGTTCCAAAATACTACAACACTCTTAAGCAGCATTAGTTAACACGTTTGCCAGCTGACTTAAAGTTGAAGTATTAATCATGGAATATTTCTGTAGGATAATTCGATAAGAGAATTTTTCCTTTTAGTCTGTAAATATATGTTCATCAGTGGGAGGAAGAGAATTTTAAACAAGCAGTCGTGAAAGAGATAAGAGGCTACCACTATGAGGATGCATGCAGTTACAATTCAAGGTATTACAGCCATTTTCGTTTTATCACCATTGTAGCGGTTTGAAATATTACTTAATATAGAGATAGCTATAGGAACACGCGAGGGCACGCCCAAAAGAGTGAATTCACTATGCATGATAAGAAATAGGAAAGCATTAAAGTTATTTCCTATATGGACGAAGGAGATTGCCACCCTTGACCAGGTGTCGGGGGGAACCCAACACATTGACTGACCGACTGTCATTGCTTGACTGTTCTGACTCAGAACAACTGAGTGTGGAACAAGACGATAATGCAAATTTCAACCGCCACATGATCATTCTTTAGCCAAAGACGTGTATAACACCACGATATCCTTTGTTTCTCAACAGAAATACAACCACTGCAAGGAAGTTATGCAGCACCTTTTTAAATGACTCCAACGCCGACTCAGTTCACATCAGGGTCCTTAAGCAACCCGGAAAGTTTTCAGTTTTTAATCAAACTAAAAGGGTTTTTTCACTTGTTATCAGTCGAACCCAATCCAAATTAACCCGTTCGGTGGTGAAAAACAACACTTTGGATTGTATTGTGCAAAAGAGTGTCCATCATATCAGCAAACATTTGGGTGGTTACAAGGTTGTCTATGTAAACAGTAGACCTCCATCATCCGAAAAATTTTGTAATGATACGAACAACAAGGATAACAACAATGAAAAGGAGGATACGAAGGACGTGTCGACGAGAAAAGGAACCAATGTCTTAACAGTAGTTGGACTAGTCGCAGGTGGAATCACCCTCTTAGTGGTTATATCGTTATCGCTGGCGTACTCATTTGGCACGTCGGCATGAAAGTAAGGGGTCAGTATTAATACATGTATTAATACCAGCGGTTCCTTATGGAATTGCTGACACATTTTTTTACAGGGTAAATAAAGTTTATTATTATCATTAAGTTTCTAAAGAAACTGCGATGCTGCGTCGGTAGGGGTAACAAGGTAACTTGATTTTATCATCTAAATTGATAATGATAAAGAGTTTAAAAGCAGACGTTTGGAGCGTTAGCCCTTCGTCAGAGCGAATGGAGGAATTGTGGGTTGTGTATGTGTTTATATGAAGAAATTGAGACTTCGTTGTTGGTTACCTTTTTAACGACTTTCTATTTAAATTACTTAGTCATGTATCTCTTCACACCATTCAGTCAAACTTGAAATTGATTTCCTAAGAAAATGATCATAGGTTTTGTTCAAATAGTGGATTTCACTTACTTCTAAAATGATAACCTTGTATCGATCAGTACCAGCGTAGTTCAACTCTAGTAGCTCCCTATAGGTTACAATTCATGTTTTGAGAATGTGCTGCTGTGTTCCACAGCAACAATAACTGCTTCTGTCCTATTTTAGAATACTTGTGTACATAGTTATATACAACAACAACAACCACCCACTACTGGGAGGGAGCTAACAATTTCTGGGAAGAATTTTCTCTCCTTTACACTCTTGACATTCGACGGACGTTTTACCTTCTTCTATGTCATTTCCCTGTATATCTATTATAAACGATATGGACTTGAATTGGGTCAGTTCTATAGTTTATTTGATTAATTGACTCATTTTAGCTATGTTTACTCTGTAGGCGGGGAAATCATGGAGCCCGGGTATATTGTAAAGCCCAGGAGAGAGATAACATAGTAGGCAAAATACAACCAGAGCACCACTATGAGGATATCACAGATGTATCTGAAACCAGAAATGGTAAAACAATCGATAACCGCCCAAACCATTCGATTCCGTTGATCATATAGCATTCTCCTTAACAGATTATCGTCAAAACTTGGTTTGAACTGCCCTTGCCTGGTTTCGATCTTATTTGTCTGGTCGTTCCCAGCGAGTGTCTGGTCGGGGAGCTGTCGCTGATAAGTTCAACCTGCGGTATGGTGTTCTTCAAGGCTCGTGTCTCGGACCACTTCTCTTTACAGTTTATGCAAGCGCACTGATTGACGTCGTTGAGAAGCACCTCCCAACTGTCCATTGTTAGGCCGATGACTCTCAGTTATACATCTCGTTTAGTCCCATGGCGCACTCTGGCCAGGCTGATGCAGTTGCTTCTATCGAACATCGCATTCCAGACATCAGGCAGTGGATGTCTCAAGACAGGTTGCTCATGAATGATGCCAAAACTGAACTTCTTTTGATCGGCACCCGACAGCAACTTGCTAAAATCACAATTGATGGCATAACTGTTGGACACTCTGTCATTACTCCTCAATCTCCCGTTCGGCGGAATCTGGGTGTGTGGTTAGATTCTAACCTATTAATGGGTGATCACATAACGAAAACAAGCTCTGCAGCATTCTATTATTTGTATTTTATCAGGAGGATAAGGAAGTACCTTAGCAAAAAATGTACTGAAACTCTGATACATGCCTTTACTTCTAGCCGCCTTGACCATTGTAATGGCCTCTTATACGGCTTACCAGCGTATCAGATTCAAAAACTGCAGAGAGTCCAGAACTCTGCTGGACGTCTTGTATTTGAAGAAAGTAAATTTTGTCATATTACACCATTGCTGAGAGCCCTACACTGGTTACCCGTAGCATATCGAATTGTTTTTAAATTTGATTGTTAACTTTTAAGGCCATTCATAAACTTGCTCCGACTTACATTTCCGATCTTGTATCTCTGAAAGACCCAGAGGGTAGGTACTATCTTAGATCAAATGATGGCAAACTTCTTAACATTCCACCACGCAAGTCTCTTTCCACGCTTGTTGATCGATCTTTTTATATGGCTGCCCCTAAATTATGGAACGATCTTCCCCTTTTTATTAGAAATACATCTTCAGTTAATGCTTTCAAGAAGGCTCTTAAAACTCATTTATTCCAGGCGTTTCCCAGCTAATTGATTGATTTTATTCTTTTCATAAAAAAGGATTTGTATATAGGACTTTAAAAATTAATTAGTTATTGTAAATAACACTTTTTGTTAATTGAAATATGTTTAGGATTTTAGGATTTTAGATAAATGAAGTTCATATATTTTGAACTGCGGTATTAGATACATATGATGCACGATCCTCGCAGTAGATAGCGCTATTTAAGCAATAGCGAAAATCAGACCTGAAAAAAATCAGGCCTGTACGGGATTCGAACCACTGACCTCTGCGATACTAGTGCAGCGCTGATTTGTCTGATTTATCTAGTGATACTGATTTGTCTGATTTATCTGCGATACTGGTGCAGCGCTGATTTATCTGATTTATCACTTTCACGGGTTTATTACGAATCAACTTAACGGCCTGCTCCCAGTTGGCTTGTTAGCTCAATTGGTAGAGCGCTGCACTAGTATCGCAGAGGTCAGTGGTTCGAATCCCGTACAGGCCTGATTTTTTTTTTCAGGTCTGATTTTCGCTATTGCTTAAATAGCGCTATCTACTGCAAGGATCGTGCATCATATGTATTTTAGGATTTTGTTGAGACAATGTAATGCACAGATGAAAATTTTTTCTCTGGATCGATATTTGACCGATACAAATCAATAAATATTATTATTAAATATTAAAAAACCTCCTTCTTGCGTAGACGCTTTTACTTTTCTCAGTGATTCAAGAAGGGGGTAGAGGTTATGCATCCATGAACTCCTTGCACAGTTAGCAAAACAATTGATCGGACAAACTGTGTACCAGGGACGTCGGCGTGCATTTCAAGACTGTAGGGGTGTCAGACTCAGCGACATTGTCAGAGGGTGAGTGCATTTCGTTGAGAGCAGGATTTTGCGACACCGACTCTTGTGGATTTGCAAACATCCCAGGCACAAAGTGATATAAAAGGCAACTAGAATCCTCTCTTTCGCAATTCGCGAATCCTCGTGTTTTCGCAAACGTCTCTGAGATTGTCAGGGGGCAAACATTACAAGTTACTACAAGAAAGACTATGGCAAAAGGTTGTTTCAACATCCACGAAAACGATTTTGAAGAGAAATAATTGCTTTTTTGTCGCCGTTTTTTCAGTAATCATATCCAATGTTTATGAGAGGAAAATGTTAGTTTTTGTTTGTGTGCATTTACGCAACACTTATTCTATTCAGTAATTGCTCCATGGTCTGAAAGTTGGTACTAGGAAGGCCTCGAATGGGCCAAAACTTTTCACTATGGAACTCTTTCTAAAATCATTACATTTACTTTGCCCAAAGCAAGCGCTACAGCTTTGCAGATGCTACAAATTGTTCATTGCTGGCCATTTCTCCTAGCTCGCTGGCCTCAAGTCGGCGTGGAAATATACGGCGAAACAACGCCTAACAGCTGAATCGCTACCACCCTTAACATGGTCTCCGACAAACTCATTCATCTAATTTGATTGCCGCTCGTTTATGAATGACTCTGGCCGACCGATTTCAATAAGATTTCTAAATTCTCCGGGAAGCACATCGAAAATTAACTATAGTATCAAAAATTCGCTTTGCACGCGGAGCCTGAACAGATTTGTCAAATTCAACACCTTCATTGACTTTATTATTTTTTTTAAAATGAAAGAAATAAAGGCTTTTGTAGCCCGCAGTTAGCAAAGCTATTCTAGGCGGGCTACCTAAACAGACACTGTATAGGCTCACACACACACACACACACGCACGCACACACACACGCAACAATGAAATAAATAAATAAATGAGCAAATAAAAATAAATAATAAATAATAGTAGTAATAATCATGTTAAAGGTTTTAACTGAGCCAGTCACACAAGGGAGTTTTTAACAGGTCAAAGAGAAAGCTAATCAGTTGAAATACAAATATAAGCTAGAAAGGTCAAGGTAGCGCAAGTCAACATTCATCTCCTCAATTTCAAGAATTTTCAAAAGCAAGTGAGTTAGCTCACGTTTAAAAGGTGCTTTCTTTAGCTTACGAATTTCAGGGGGGATGCCATTCCATATTTTCGCACCAACTCTAGAAAAGGAAAACAACTGATGATTTGTTCTCGCCTGTTTTATATAAAAGCTTCCAGCTACTGAGAAACGAGTAGAGTAGGAATGAACCTGTTCAGAGTGAGTAAAAAGTTCAGAAATATTGAGAGGAGCACAGCGATTTTTGATGTCATGTGCTCGAGACGTAGCATCTTTCCGTAAATAAACAAAGGAGCCCTTTGACCAACAGTACTGGTAATAATGCTGTTCTTTAAACTTCTTCGCCTCGAACAGGACTGTTTGCATTCGGGGTGACAAATGATCAAAAATTCTAACCGCGCTTAACGAGGCATCCTCAGGGAGTCCAACGGAAGCCGGGTCCAATTTGCATGCATCTTTACGATGATTCATGACGCTTTCTTTGGCTAAACGCCTGACAAATCTACAAACTATCGGCTTTGGCTTTCCATTGTTATTCCTGCTGGGAACACGATGGGCGGTGTCGATGTCATACATCGATAGATCAGCTCCCGTTTCTTTAAAAATGTTTAGGCAAAGCTTGCTTATCGAGGCTGCGGATTCATCTTGCAGCCTCTCAGGCACTCCCACAATTTTTACATTATACTGGAAACTATGTTCTTGAATTTCGTCAATAGCATTTCCAATAATATCTACCTTGGCTTTCAGCTCTTCGAGTTTGGTGCTTAGTCGCTGGAGTTCGTCTTTGGCCATGCCGCTAAAGAGATGGAAGTCGTCGTATTTCTTGCTCAAGAACTCTACACATTGGGCACCTTCTTCGCTGGGCAGAACTTCTTCGCTTCTCTCGCTATGTCGCTGTATCAACTCCTTCAATCTAGCTACCTCGTCCGACATTGACGATAGTTGCGCTTTAAGTATGTTATTCTCCTTCTTCAAAGCCGCAACTGACCCAGGCATTGCACAAAGGTTAAACGAAAGGACACACACAAAAAAATACAGAATACAAAAATAAGAAAAAGCAAAGAATATAAAGAAACTTAGCGGAGCTCAAAAATCACAACCGTCTTGACCAACATCCGCTGATCAGGTTCATTTTAAGTTTGCCACATTTTCTCTTTCATCCTCTATCTATCCCTCCCCTCCTTCCCTCTGTTCCAATCCTAACCCTTTCCCCCTGCGTGCGTTGTGAATTTCGGCCATGGTGGGCTTGAAGTGATTCAAGACGAATTGAGATCAACAGTCTTGATTGGTAAAGATGATGCTATACTACAGGGTAGCCTATCTAATAAGGAATGGAAAGTTCGTTGAGAGCTTTTTAAATGCCGACCTCCTCTTGTAACTATTTGACCGCTAATGATCAACAGACTAATTCATTCCCGAACAATATGCCGCATCACAAACTGCCTTCTTTGAAAAAAAAGCATTTCACCAAAAGTCGACGCGGAGCATTTGATGTTTCTAAAACCATGAACGGGGAACAGGGAACGGAATGAGTATGAGAATCAAACGAATTTGGACGGTAGGGACTACATACTCCCCCTACAGTGCATCTTGACCCGGGCCGGAAGTGTAGCCTTTCTTGCGGACTCACGATTTATGCCTCCGGATGACATAACAATGCGAAGGCGAAGATGAGAAAAGCATCTGTTATCTAATCAGAAATGCGAGAGAAGATTGTATTTAAAATTCATATCATGCTACCGTAATGTTTACGTGACATAAATTGTTGTTCAAATGTTATTCAGCCTTCGCCGAGGAATTTTCTGACACTTCTACGAAGACCCGATATATATCGCCCACAAACCAGGAGCTTGGTACCTCTTAGTATTTCTTTTAGAACCTATGCGCACCACGAATGGTCAACACTCATAACAGCACGTCAACCAGTAGCCTGACTGACGATCTTAGATCGCCTTGTTATAATATTTATAGTGCAGATTACCGCTGTACTACTCAGTTCCAGTCTCCCCCAACTAAGTTGAAATCATATTTCAATATGCTCATCAAGCATTATGGGTACTTGGTATACATAAACTGTATACCAAGTATCGGTCATAGAATGGGGTAGTGTCCAGCCGTCTGAATCCAATTGCTTGCAGAAAATGAGTGCCTATATCCTCTGAGGTTAGTGGAATCCAATATAATACGCTGTGGAAGTGAGTACCAGTAGTTGAAAACAATTATAAGACGCGCTGACATCGTAAATTTCGCTCTAATCCTTGAATTACTTTCTAGCCGCTTTTTCGTGGACAGAAAGCATGAATCTTCCAATTGCATCCACTATCTAGACAAATGAATGAAACAAAATATTCGGCTGAGGTGTACCTCTTAACAGAAATTTGTGAGATTGAGATATGTATGTATACATAATTATATAACAAGGAAACTGAGAAAGATCAATATACATCGCTGCATATCATAAAACGGGCCCTCTGAAGTGAAATATCTTAAATCAAAGTAAATTGTAGGCAAACAATGACTATATATCCACTACTAATTTTCCCCTTTTCTGGTTATACTAAGCAAGAGAGAAAGTAAGAGAGAAAGTTAGAGAGAAATTACATTCAGCGGAAGTATATATGATTAACAAATTCTTAGAAATTAGGGAAATACCCCCTTTTGTTTTCGATCTTGATTCGAGTTATCAGTTTAGGGTTTCTCGCTAAAACAGTAAATTTCTATGTCAATGTTACCACTTAAGTGAGTCATTCTCTGGAGAATCTCTTCAATGTCGGGCACATTGAGTTAATTGCCGCGTTGATTAACTCAATAACTCTTCCCAAACTGAACGTGACTGTGACGTATTTTTAGTTACTGCGCTACAGCATTAAAGGAAGTTGAAGTGGTTTATATTAAGAACTCTACCGCTTTACGTCAATTCCATGTTTTGAAACAATCTTCCTTCTAATGGCGAAACATTTATGTTTCACTTTTCAACCGCTAAACTACTGGTCTCCGTCAAACCTCACAAAGCCCAGAAGAAAGTGTCTTCCCATCGCCAGCAGATTGTCGACTGATCAAACCGAATCATTCCATTCTCGCTACATTTAGCCAGCGTTTAGAGATAAAGCGGATATTCTTTGTTTTCTTTATTGATTTAGGGAAATATCTGTGTTTGTTGGTGACATGTTTTCTCTCTTCTCTATCAGTGTGAAAACAAGTTAGTGGGTAAACCGAGGAACGGTGCATTTTTAAATGCGCTTGTCTTGCATTAGTCACGCAACAGGTTACGTGACGTGACCAAGCTTAGAATGAAATCATCATGATAAGTCAAAACACATCAGCACCACTGTCTAAATTCTTCTTGTTTTTTTTTTTTTTATTTTTTTTTTTGGGGGGGGGGACGGGGGGAGTGTCCCACGAAATTTACCAATCAAGTACACAATCCTCTGTTTTGTGACGGAGCTATTTTTCTGTTGCTTCTTAATGTCGGTTTCATTTATTTTAGTCGCGGCCGGTTTGTAAAACTGGAGGCTAGAACTCCACTCGTAGCTTCTCTTTTTCATTTCTAATTACTAAGAAGTCTGAACGACGTAAGAGGACTAATCTGAAGTCTGAAAATAAGAGACGATCAGGCCGTAATACCAGAGTATTGTTGTAATGTTTTGATGCAGAATACTCACATGGCCACGTGAGTAAAATTTTCAAAAATCAAGGGGAAGTTGCTTCAGGAGCAAAGGGTTTACAGTTGTTTCAAGAAAGGCTTTCGGGAAAAAAAGCGTACAAGTGCACGCGACAACAATCTACAATATATTTAAACTTTTTTTACGCATTAATTTTAAGACGTTAGCTGTGTCGTTAGCCTGCCCCCGCCCCTTACCACCTTCTTGATCTATAACAGCGTTGCTAATCGGACCAATTCTCAATTCCCATTCGCTCTGACCAAGGGCTAACGCTCCAAACGTCAGCTTTTTTATTCGTTACGGTGGCCAATTTATAATTTCAACTTAGTTGATATAACCAACTTACCTTGTTACCCCCACGACGCAGCACCACACTGAGTTTCTTTATAAACTTTCATCCTTTATTCATTTGACCAATTCTCAGTTTACTTTACAGAAGCAGGACTTTACTCTAGCATTCAGAAGGAAAAGGGATGGAAGGATCAAAATTATTTTTAATTCTCCAATTATGGCTTCATAGCAATATCATCCTCGGTAAGTTGCTTCATCATTTTAACCTAAATTTTCAACTGAATTAGTCAGTTCTCCTCGCAACATGTCCTTTAGGAACTGCGCTGATTCATCAGGTTATTTACAAACTTTTATCGAGGAATTTTCACGAGCACAACTGCATAATAAGAAGAGTTAGTGTCGTAATCGTGAACTGACATGCACGAAGTGATATTAAGTGATTATAAATTAAGCGCAGAATACAACGCAATTTTTGTCGGTTTACAGGTATAATAACCCACGTGGAATGTTGGGAGAACTCTCATTATAACATAACCAAAGTAAAGCGCGCGCTCTGATTGGTCAATTTAGCGTCCCCCATTTTCCCATGGGTGTACGCTGCTGACGTGAGCATATGCAAAGACTAGTTTTCAGCGCGCGCTGGTTTTTTTTAGGTCACGTAAGATTTGTTAAATAAAAGGGAACTCTTTAGCTACAATGTGTCATTGTTATGTTATAAAACAAATGGTAAACACTACAGCGTACACTATTGAGTTATGGATGCACTTGGGAGGTTTGCTAAGCACTCAAGAAGCTGGAGTCGCTCTCGGCTATCCGGCCTCGAGCGACTCTTACGCTTCTTTCGTGCTTAGCAACCTCCCACGTGCATCCATAACTCAATAGTGTACGCTGTGGTGTTTACCATTTGTTAATTGTCCCAGGTGGGTTACTTCACAGGCAAACCGATAGAAAGTTCAGTCTATTGCTCGTATAAAATAAACTTAATTTGCTTCAATTTTCTATGGGTTTGCCAGTACAATAAACGATAGGTTTTTTGACCAATCACATCATCTAATTGTTCTTAAGAGTAGATAAGCTGCAGACAGAGAACCTACCTAAGTGTTTTACATTTCGAAAGCAATTTTATTAGGCTTTAGCGACTTTCTCTGGGTAAGTTTCATTGTTAAGGACACTAGCCAGAAGGCTCATTTTTATTGAATTGATTATTGATTTGTGTACTAATTTTAGCATGATCCTAGATACGGACATAGTTACAATGTTTATCTGTTTTTCCGTATTTCTATTGGTTTTTGTAATCAGCGTCAACGCGCATATAAAAGGCGAGTTTAGCGTCCCTTTAATCAGTTCTTCGTAAGTTTTTGAGTAGTCTTGGTAAGCTTTCGCCCTTTCGTTTTCTCAAACCTTTAGCACAAGCGGTACCGATATGTGACTACCTTTGTAACTTTGTTTTTCTAGTCTAGTTTTTTCAGTGTTGGGCGACAATATACGAACAGATATTCCGTTTCATTATCCAACTACACCTAGACGAGTACAAATAACGCCATAGACGAGTACAAATATCACGCGGTATTTGTACGCGTCTATTGTAGAGTACCGGTTAAACAGGTTTTCTCGCATCGCGCAAGCGAAAAATTGAATTGTAGTTACGAAAAAAAAAACAACAAATGGCTGACAATTTGAATCATATTTCCGACGACGAAGAGTCAGAATGGCTGGCAAATATAGATCGAGTTCATTAGATGAATCGAACGAAGAAAAACGGCTTGACGACCAGAAAATTTCTTCATTTAATGAAGAAAATAGAAATAGCAACACAACAACGCGACAATTCCTTTCCGCTTCGCATACTTCTGTCACGCACTCCCCCTAAAGAAATATCCGCGAAATTCGCCCGCACTGAAATAACAGTTTGGCGTGTTGGATAATAAATAACTTATTAGACGTTTTGTTGTGTAGTATCGCTGAGTATTTTTACTCGTTATTTGTATTTTGACTCGCCCTACGGGCTCGTCAAAATACGGCACAACTCGTAAAAATACTCTCCGATACTACACAACAAAACGTCTAATAAGATATATGTATTGCCGTATTCGCGACTGATGTAAGATTGAAAGGCCAAAATTGTACCAAATGGTGCGAATGAACGCCCACCATTTAGATAAGAACAATAGGCTGTTAACCAGTTACCAAAATTCTTGTAATTTGTATGAAACTTTTCTATTGGTTTATTTGTATTGTTCTTTGTCATTTTAATCTCGTCGATCGGCGTTAAGGCCCAGTTTTTACCGCGATTCTTTGATTATGTATTCCGCGACATTTCATTTGATTGATAGAACTTCGTTGTATTATTTCAGTTTACGATCGATAGATTGATTCAGTGATTTTGAGAGTGATCGTGATTTTCATCGTTGATTGTGGTTCGCAGTCGATTGCCTTTCAAGAATAAAGATTCGTACAAACAGTCAACTTTGGTTTGTTATCTCGATCTGTAAAATAGTCCCCAAACACCTGTTCTCCTTCCCATTCACCAGTTATCTTGTGGAATTTTTTAAGTGGCTATTCTTTTCTCCTCGCAGCTTGTAAAGAGCCGTGCTTGTACTTTAGCGTTGGAAATACCATAAATAGTATCAAGCTGTCCGCTGGGCCAACCACTTCTACTGTTGTAGTGCAAGACATTGGACGGGTTTCTGCCATTGCAGTGGACGTGGAAGACAACTATATCTATTGGAGTGACTTTGGGGTTCGTATTATCAAAAGAATGAATCTTCAAACGAACAAAAAAGAAAACGTGACAGAAAGTGTCGGTATGGTGGAAGGAATAGCCATAGACTGGATTGATAAGGATATCTTTTGGACAGACACAACCAACAACCGAATCGAAATGGCAAAGGTTGACGGAAGTGACCGAAAGATACTGTTTGATAGAGGCATTGACCGCCCTCGAGGTATTGCTGTTGATTTCGTCAATGGGTGAGTTAAGAGAAGTCATATATACATAAAGGATTTAAATCAAAACTCACAAACTGAGAAATTCAATATAACTAAGAAATGTCTTATTATGCCACTCAGGATGAACCTTTTTTTAAAAAATTGTGTGTGTATGTGTGTGTGTGTGTTCAACTTAATAATTAAGACGTTGTTCTTAACGTTTTCAGGGAATAGTAGAGCCAAGTAATACGGACCTGAAATCTGCTAAAGTTCACTGTTTTCAATGGTGGTGAATCACTTTTCTTGGTACATGTTTGTAGAACTTGCTCTAATGGCGTAAAAAAAGTTGCTAAGCAATCTAACTTTTACTTATGTAGTCTGTGCGGAAACAAATCAATTGGTAGAGCGCCGGACTGTTGTGCGGGAGGTCGTGAGTTCAAATCCCGACGGACCAACACTCAGGGTCTTTAATTAACTGAGAAGAAAGTGCTGCCTTTGTAATAATATCTGTAAATAGTTAGACTTTCTAGTCTTCTCGGATCGGGACGATAAATTAAGGTCCCGTCTCCTGCAGGGTTGGGGTAGGAGACGTTAATTTCCCACTGACACGAGATTACTGTGTGATGGAAGTCCTCCCCGGGGTGGGATGGGTGGGTAAAAAAGGGGTTAGGTGTCAATTGGAACGAAAGTTTTGTTCCTTTCTCCTGCCATTCCTGTGGCGAATGAATTAAACTAAACTAAACCAAACAAATGGTAAAAATAAAAACATGTCACGTGACTACCAACGTGACGCAAAAAAGAAGAGAGTATTACTGATTTGAAGCCGTAATTGCCTCTTAGCAAGAAAACTCAGCCAATCGTTGTCAAGAGGAATAACACAGAATTGATGAATCAAATCTTACAGGTACATCTTCTGGACAGAATGGGGATCAAATCCTAAAATTGAAAGAGCCACCTTAGACGGGAAGGAAAGAGTCACCATAGTGGAAGCGAGCTCCAGTTCCCCCTTGAAGTGGGTAAATGGTGTAATAGTAGACTATGCTGACCCAGAAAGCGTAATTTATTGGGTCGATGCTGGTCTGGGTGTGGTCGGCAGAGCTGATCTGGACGGACGCAATCGAAAACTATCAAAAAACATAACGAACAGTATTCTATTCGCTATAGCACTTCACAATGGAACCCTCTACTTGTCTGACAAAAAAGCAAAGACAATTCGGTTGGTGGAAAAAAAGAGCCTGGAATATCTTGGAAAACTCGGTTTGTCTTTCCCTGAAATACTTGGAATTACTGCATTAGACGGATCAAGGCAACCGTTAAGTAAGTAGAGATCGTTTCTTGTCTTTCCTTCTCCAAAACTGACTTTAAAATCTGTTTAATACAAATTGAGGCATTTGCAATGTAAATGTGGAGCAATTTTATTTTTTAAATTATCAAAGGTAAATATGATTTACATTTACAGAGGAATGTTTTCATGGCACACATTTTAAAAAGCTGAAAGGAACAAAAGCTATTGACCTTCAGTCACAAGTGTCGGAGGACTCTTTCAGTATCGCTTAAAGAGCCACTCAAAGTTGATAAATTACTATTTTATCAGAAAATACAAAAGGAAAACAATCGTTTCTCAGCCATTATTCATAACTACATTCTCCGGAAAGTTATCTGTTCACCAGTTTTACGAAATCCCAGGTGCACTAGACCCAGGGGAACCTCGGCAATAGACGCGCAACTCCGGGAAATCACGGGCGACGGAGTGGCATGCGTGAGAGTGGGAGGCTGTGCAAGAGGAAGGGGTGAGCCTTGTACTCACGCCTGCTACTTCCACGAAACACATCACCACGCGGCCAAAACGGATTCCCGGGTGCACTAGATAGTCCCAGGGGAGTTGGAGAGTAGGCGCGCACCTCCTGCCAGATCACGGGAGCCGTAGTGGCACGCCTGCCAGTGAGAGGCTGTGCACTGTGAGGCACATGTGCTAAAGAAGGCGGTGAGTCTTGTACTGACGCCTGCCACTTTTACGAAACACATCGCCACGCGGCTAAAATGGATTCCCGCGTGCTCTAGACAGTCCCAGAGAAGTTGGGGGATAGGCGCGCAACTCCTGCAAGTCACGGGAGGCGTGGTGGCACGCCTCCGAGTGAGAGTCTGTGCACTATGAGGCACATGTGAATGATATCCGGAAAATAAGCCCTGGACGATTAGCCCCAGACAACTCGCCCCCGATCTTCAGACAACCAGCCCCCGATCTTCAGACATCTGGCCCCCAATATGAAAACACCTATGTTACGTTGGACAGATATATTTTTATGCTCATAAAGTAACAATTCTTTGAAAGAAGAAGAAAGTTTGTTTTTGAAAGTACATTACGAGACCGAGACTTACGTTTGTAGGAATCGATTGTAATACAATCACGTAAACACATGAAGGTGACCATTTTGTAATCCAGCCATAACTTTTGAAGTTGCTGAAGTGAAACATTAAACTGTTTATTTTTTTTGTTTTGAAGCATTCAGATCAAAGTTGTCTGTTATTTGCGTCTGGTCTTTGTTCTTTCACAGCGCAAAACCCTTCATGTGTTTACGCGATCGTTACAATCGATCGCTACAAACGCAAGTTTCGGTCTCGTAATGTACTTTAAAAGACAAACTTTCCTCTTCTTTCAAGAAATTATTACTTTATGAGTATAGAAATATGTTTTTCCAACGTAACTTAAGTGTTTTCATATTGGGGGCCAGTTGTCTGAAGATCGGAGGCTATTTGTCTAAAGATCACACGGACGAGTTGTCTGGGGCTACTTGTCCAGGGGGCGAGTTGTCTGACATTCATGAGAATAATACAGAGCTTTGTGGGGGAAGGGAAGGGATCAGGTGCCTAATACTTTCGTTCGGACACATTTGTCTGCCCTTTCCGACTTTTCTGATATCACTACATGTAGCACTGGCCATTGCAACTATATATGCATGCATAAATATATGAACCATTTGCTGGGGGCGTTCCAAATGTCATCATGTGAGAGGCCATTTCTGGCTTTGCTAAGCAATTTTAGCCTATTTACTCCGGCTTAGTCAGTTAACTACAATACTCTCAAGCAGAATTAGTTAACACGTTTGCCAGCTGACTTAAGGTTGAAGTATTAATGATGTAATGTTTCTAAAGGATAATTCAATTAAAGAATTTGTTCCTTTTCGTCTGTAAATATATGTTCATCAGTGGGAGGAAGAGAGATTTAAGGAAGCAGTCGTGAAAGGGATAAGAGACTACTGCTATGAGGATGCATGCAGTTACAATTCAAGGTATTACAGCTATTTGTATTTAATACATAATACATATCGATTTCTATAGCGCATTTCCATGTAAATGCTCTAATGCGCTTTACAACACTGTGCGGGGGACTTTTTCAAACTGCCGGCGGCATTTAACAATTAATAAAGGAGAAATTTTACAGATGCCCCCTCCCCCCATTCCCAGTAACCAGGCCAGACCACATCACAGTAATCTCGTGATGTAGGTTCTTTAAACACGAAGGCGCGTTATAAAAGGAGCCTTAGGTCCCACTGGACCATTTGTCAATCAACCGTCGTGTGATTTAGAACTCCTAGAGTCAAGTCAGCTTGAGCTACAGCTACTCCAAAGCAGTGAACAGCGGGCGCATTCCTCAAAATTGTTTTATGTTTTCATCACCATACAAGAATTTTTTTAGATTTGTATTTCCTTTCTCCAATGGAAACTGTCTTTATTTATGGCGGTAAATTTGAGATCGAAGTAGGTGGTTCGCACGTTACCTCATGCCACCATGCTGGTGGAAGTAAACAATAGATATCTCATTAGCTCCTTTTATTTCTCTACCAGCATTTGAATTTGACCCGCACACGTCAACGGTGAGTGACAAATGAGCCTAGGTCTTCTCAGGGAAGACTTCCTTATATAGCGCGCCTTCGTGTTTAACGTCCCTTGCCGAAATTAACTAACTGATAGGTGCAGGAGACGGGACCTCCGGCTTTACGTCCTATCCGAGAAGACGAAGCAATGTGAGTGAAGCGTCTTGCTTAAGGACACAACGTCAAGCCCCAGACAGGACTTGAACCCGGGCCATCTGACCCAGAGTCCAGCGCACTGATCACTGGACTACTCATGCCTTACAAATTTATATTTTAATTTATTATTTCAATTTGTATTTCAATTTATTACCGTTGTAGTTTGAAATGCTCTTAATACATAGTCATAGGAACCAGCATGTGTGGGCACGCCCAACAGAGCGAATACACCATTCATGATTAGAAATAGGGAAGCATTAAAGTTATTTCCCATATGGACGAAAGAGATTGCCACCGTTGACTAGAGGTCGGCGGAACCCAACACAGTGGCTATGACTGACTGACTGCCATTCCTTGACTTTTCTGACCTAGAGCACCTGAGTGTGGAATAAGAAGATAATGCAATGTGCAATCGCCACATGATCATTATTTAGCCAAAGACGTGTATAACACCACGATATCCTTTGTTTCTCAACAGAAATACAACCACTGCAAGGAAGTTATGCAGCACCTTTCCAAATGACTCCAACGCCGGTTCAGCTCAGATCAGGGTCCTAAAGCAACCCGGAGAGTTTTCAGTTTTCAATCAAACTAAAGTAGTTTTTTCACTTATTCTTCAATCCCAATTCAATTCAACCCGTTCGGTGGTGAAAAACAACACTTTGGATTATATTGTACAAAATAGTGTCTACTATATCAGTAAACATTTAGGTGGTTACAAGGTTGTCTATGTGAATAGTAAACCTCCATCATCCGAAAAAGTTTGTAATGATACGGACAACAAGGATAACAACAATGAAAAGGAAGTTATAAAAGAAGTATCGACAGAAAAGGGAACCATTGTCTCAACAGTAGAATCAGCTGGAATGATCGCAGGTGGAATCGTCCTCTTGGTGGTTATCGTTATCGCTATCGCTGGCGTACTCGTTTGGCACGTTAAGCGTAAAAATAGGAGGTAAGTTTCTAAAGAAACGGCGGTGCTGCTTCGGTAGGGGTAACAAGGTAGTTTGGTTTTATCAACTAAGTTAATAATGTAAACTGGCCACCGTAAAGAGTTTAAAAGCTGACGTTTGGAGCATTAGCCCTTCGTCAGAGCGAATGGAGGTATTGTGGGTTGCGTATGTGTTTTTATGCAGAGAGTGGAGCTGCGCTATTGGTTACTTTTTTAACGACTTTCTATTTAAATTACTTAGTCATGTATCTCTTCATACCATTCAGTCAAACTTGAAATTGATTTCCTAAGAAAATGATCATAGATAAATATAGGTTTTGTTCAAATAGTAGACTTCATTTACTTCTAAAATGATATCCTTGTATTGATCAGTGCCTGCGTAGTTCAACTCTAACAGCTCCCTATCTGTTTCAATTCATGTGTTCAGAAGGTGCTGCTGTGTTCCATGGCAACAATGACTGCTTCTGTCGTATTTAGAAATACTTGTGTAAATAGTTCTATACAACAACAACAACCACCCACTACTGGAAGGGGGCTAACAATTTTCCTGGAAGAATTTTCTCTCCTATACACTCTCGACGTTAAACGGGCGTTTTAACCTTCTCCTATGCCATTTCCCTGTATATCTATTATAAACGATATGAACTTGAATTGGGTCAGTTCTATAGTTTATTTGATTAATTGGCTCATTTTTAGCTATGTTTACTCTGTAGTCGGGGAAATCATGGAGCCCGGGTGTATTATGAAGCCCAGAGGAGAGACAATATAGGAGGCGAAATACAACCAGAGCACCAATATGAGGAAATCACAGTTGTAGCTGAAACCAGAAATGGTAACACACACGCGATGGATAGTGCGCTGGACTGTTGTGCGGGAGGTCGAGGGTTCGAGCCCCGGCTGGACCAACACTCAAGGTCTTAAAATAATTGAGGAGAATTTGCTAACTTTTTATAACATCAAGAAATGGTTAGATAAACTAGTCTTCTCGGATAGGGAGGAATAAATGGAGGTCTTGTCTCCTGCAGGGTTAGGGGTAGGAGAAGTCAATTTCCCACGCACGAGATTACTGTGTGATGGATGTCCTCCCCTGGGGTGGGTACAAAGGGGTTAGGTGTCAATTGGGACGAAAGTCCTGTTCCTTTCTCCTGCCATTCCCGTGGCGAATGAATGAATTTTTTTTTTTTTTTACCATAACAGCCCAAACCAATCAGGAAACGACAGAATCTACCACAACAAATGTAACGAGGATGAACGAAATATGGGTAACTCAAGACAGAAACCGAACATCAACCACACTCCTGTTTGGAAGAAACATAAGAATTTGGACAAAACCAGTGAAATACACATTAACCTCTTAAATAAGAAGACAGACGGGCAGCGGTTTGATGGAGCCAATCGGAATGCTGATGAGAAAGAAAAGCATGTGACCGCGCCGTCACTTTCATCTGACACAAAACGTGGTGCTGAAGAAAATGATGATGATGATGGTTCTGGCACATGTGGGCCTGACAAACCAGTTCAATGCACAGACGATATAGGCTCGAAAGGGACATAAATAACTTTTCAATCAATTAAATGGGAGTGCATTTCTAAAGTCTATATTCCCATCGTCGTGTAACAGTTATGTGAAGGTGTAGTCTGATCGTCCGGGTGAGTGTAGTCCTGAGAAGGACTGTTGTCGGTGGCAGTGACTGACGTTTCGACAACCTGTGCGGAAGTCATCATCAGAGTCAAATTTTGTCGTATTCGCCTGACTGTGCTTGCGTAGGTGATGTAGTCATTCGCAAGTCTTTCGCTCTGTCGTCCAAGTGAACGTAATACAGTAAATGGTTTGAACCCTGGGGTAACATGTGAAGGTGTAGTCTGATCGTCCGGGTGAGTGTAGTCCTGAGAAGGACTGTTGTCGGTGGCAGTGACTGACGTTTCGACAACCTGTGCGGAAGTCATCATCAGAGTCAAGTGAGTGATTGTTGTCAGTAGAATGTTCTTATTCCAGTTCGTGTGAAATGATCGGTTGGTTTTGCCGCTACCCTTCAATATCCGCGTCGCCCACAAACCCATCACCACACTACGTCAGTTACTAACCAACGTTAAAGACAAAGACGAACCGAGGAACAGACAGGGAACGATTTATAAGATCAATTGTTCCGACTGCCAAGCCTCCTACATCGGTGAGACTGGCAGAAACCTCACAACAAGACTGACTGAACACAGACGGGCGACGAGGAAAGGTGATGTCAGCAATCACATTGCTGAACACCATCGACTTACCAACCACAACATTGACTGGGACTCTGCGCAATGCCTAACCTACAGCACTGACTATTTTCAACGACTGACTCTGGAAAGCTGGTTTACTAACTTAGAACAGACTCCCCTAAACAGATGTCAACAACTACCCGCCCCATACAAACGACTCATTCACGACATAAACATCACAAACGACCGAAAAAGAACAACCTAGCTTTACCGACAGACCGAAACAGACCAATCACGAACGACTTACGTCACTTGAGTCTTACAGCCAATAACATCACGGCAAAACCAACCGATCATTTCACACGAACTGGAATAAGAACATTCTACTGACAACAATCACTCACTTGACTCTGATGATGACTTCCGCACAGGTTGTCGAAACGTCAGTCACTGCCACCGACAACAGTCCTTCTCAGGACTACACTCACCCGGACGATCAGACTACACCTTCACATGTTACCCCCGGGTTCAAACCATTTACTGTAACAGTTATAGCAATTATTCAATGCTACAATATTTTGTATTTTTAAAATTTTTAACAATTTCCGTGTGAGGCCCTCAAACGAGAATTGATAGATAAGTAGAAATTACGAAAATAATTTTATACTTGAGGAAAGACTTAAATCAGTTTGCCCTGAGGTAGCTTTCATTGAATATTTAGCCCTGAGTACTACTGATATCTTTTTTGTTAGACCAGAAATTATGTCGATAACCGCAAGCTTCTGAAACCAAGGCGTATTTAAGAGCGTGTCTGTCCTGTGCTTTCTGCCAAACAGAGGTTGAATCCGTAGAGCATTACTCTTTTCCTGTAGAGTGTCACCTAGTTTTTGAAAACATGTCTTGTCCCGGTTACGCGAATATAACATCTCTGTTGATAAACTTGAAGAGGAAGATCTCATTTTTGGTAAGTTCGATATTGCAGAAGATTTTCTCCTATTTAACCATATTTTGCTTCTGGGTAAGTTTTAGATCTACTCTCGCAAATACCAAAATGGTATACCTTATCTGCAAGGTTTCATAGCCAGGACAAGGCGTGTTTACAACATCGAACTCCATATTGTCAGGGAAAGAGACAAATTAAATAATCATTTTAGAAAGTAGGAAAAGTTAATAAGCGTTTTTACGAATAAGTGATGTCATGATTAATTTCCATCATTAGTTTTAAAGTGAAGTAATTGTAACTTCTATACTAGGTAGCTGTATTGCTGGAATAGCTTTGTGTGTGTTTAGCTTGGTAGTCTTCTATTTGTATTATATAAATGTATGTGTGTGTTTGTCTTTTTCTCTTTTTTTTTCTATTATTTTTCAATTTCTCTCTTAATTTGTATTTTGTACGTAAATGTAAGGAGATGCTTTAAATAAATTTATTAAATTAAAAAAAAGCTTGTCCACGAAGAAACCGGGCTGGGGGCGATAAACCTCAAATAACCGATTTGGCTCAAACTAGGCACGAATGGTATGTATATCATGAGTTCACAGATGTGTGAAAATAAAAGGTCAAAATATTTAACTCCCTGGGAGATATAGGGTCCCACTAGGAAAACCCCCATTTCCTGCATTTTTTGCAAATCCAATCAATGATCAGACTTTAAGAAAATTAAATTGTTTTAACTTTTCCATTTCATTTCTCCTTACCTCTCCCTAAATAAAGACGACTTTTTCTGGTTTTGACGAAGTCCAAAAATAAGGATATTCTAAGGCCCAATACCTCCAATGACCGACCACTTCTGATCATCATTCCTGCTTGAGCAGTGAAAGCCATTACTGGACTTCTAAAATCAGTAATAAAATTTAAAATTTGGGGGCAATTGATTTCAAAACCCGTGCTGACCTGAAATTTAAATCTAACTCCCGCTTGTTTTTCTGTATCATTAAAATTCCGTAAACCACAACTCTGTTTTGTTAAATTGAAATAACTTGCAATTTACAAGAAATTTCCCAGAGTATCGTTTAAACATGAACGAGGAGAGAATCTTTGAATAGCACAAGTTGAGCCCTTTTTGAGATCTTTTTTCGCAGCCATATTTGGATTATTCTCGAGGAAATGCAGCAGTTGCTAATGAACATCAAGAGCGTATGTAGTCGAACTTTCTGACAAAAGAAATCTAGGAAGAAACTTGATAGTACATACATGTCGCTGTGGTACCTTAGTTGCAACTTCTGGCTTGATTAAACGCGGTGGGAGCTCTCGGAAAGATCGATCAAAGTGATTGGTCTTTTACGGCGTGATACTTATCGACTTGCATAATATGTGTTGGTGGCAAAAAGACAATTTGACGCCCTGAAAAGCTATGTATATCAAATGGACAATTCGCCATTTTTGATCATATCGCGCCTACATTTTGTTCAGCGGTCAACTTTGACATTCATTTAACCTGCTGTATTTCTAGTCTTCAGAGTTTAAAATGTAACAAAAATTTACGGCTCCCAAAATATTTGACTTGCTATTTGTTAAGCCGGTGATATATTGGTCTCCTCTCAGTACAAGGAAAAAGAACTGACACGTATATAGAAATGTCCTTTAGATGCTACAATCTCATTGGCCACAGTTGACAATAGCCATTTAGCAAAATATTCCCTCCACCTGTGGGTTGGTATTTATTTCTGACCATAGTTAGTAGAGGGGTACTCTACTAACTATGTTCTGACTAATCATTCATATCGTGGGGCTACCCGTTGGGCCTAATTTTGCTAGTGTCCAGGCCGACCGCGTCGTAACGGACTTTTGACTGCACAGGTTTTGACCGACGTGGATCCGAATGGCGTTCATTGAAATAGCGGTCAATTTGAGATTATCGCTTGGTCGGTTGCTAGACAACACAACTTTTGTGGGATTTTTTTTTGGTGAACTTGAATGGCAACTATTTGGCTTTCGTGCTGCCAAGTTTCGATTCAAGGGGAAGTATTTAAGTGTGTTTTTCGAGCGATTTTGGCGAGCGTGTGTGAGACAGAGCTTTCCTACCTTCCCTTTTATTTGGTAGTGCTCGGACGTTAAGCTGAAACACAGCAAAACGGCCTCAATTCGCGACAAGAACAGCAAAGACTACTCTTTATGAAGGTAAGACTTCATTTCTTTGATTATTTTACACAACTCTATATTTACGGAGCTCAAAAGCAAGTCCAAGTAAACCACTATACAAACTCTATAATAATCCACTGTGAAAGAGCCTGTGACAGAGCCTGAGACAGAGCCTGGGCCGCCTGTGTGTTTTACTACAGATGTTTGATATGTAATCTCTTGCTGTGTATTGTCATATCTGGCCTCGGAGTGCACTTGTAACTGATTACCTGACATACGCACTCGACCGCTGAGGTTTTCTGCTTACAGTTGATATGTAATCTCTTGCAGCTGTCTAATGTAATATCTGGCTTTTCGTCGAGGTGTATCTTAGAAATTGCTCCATTGCAAAAGTGCGGATTATTAATGAAAGGTGGGGCGAGGAAGGCAAAGGGGTCAACAATCAATGTCGTAGTATCAGACAGAAGTGTAATAGCTGCTCTTAAATATTACCAATAATAATCGACAATCCGCTAATATTAACATCAAAACCTGGAAGAAAGCTCCTTCTTGCGTAGGGCAGAGATTGTGCTTCCCTGAACTCCTTGCAAAGTTAGAAAAGCAATCGATAAGAGAAACTGTGTACCAAGGACGTCGGCATGCATTTCAAGACTGTAGGGGTGTCAGCCTCTCGCGGATCCTTGTGTTTACGCAAACGTCTCTGAGGTCATCAGGGGGCAAACATTGCAAGTTACTACAAGAAAGACTATGGCGAAAGGCTGTTTCGACGTCCACGAAAACGATTTTGAAGAGACATAATCACTTTTTTGCCGCCGTTTTTTTAAGGAATGGATTTATCCAATGTTTATACAGTCGAAGCTCTCGCAAGCGGACACCCTCGGGACGGGATAAAAATGTCCGTAACTGGAGCTGGCCGCTTACGAGAATGGTTCTCGCAAGCGGCCACTAGAGGTGTAGGGGATAGATGGCCGCTTACGGGGGCTTGCCCAGCTAACAATAAATATTGGTATACAAAAAAAAACCGAGGTATTAAATGACACTTTTGTTTTATTGCGCCCAATACAATCCTACGATAATGACAATAACTGAACAGCATTACAGTACTGTATACTGCAGTACTAGGAATGCACCTCAGTCATTTTCAAAAATAACAGATCATAATCGTAACCAACATCAAGATATCCAGCATTAACAGCCTCAGGAAAGACTGATGTAAGGGGAAAGCGAGTAAACAGAAGAGCCGGATACGGCTTAGAAATTCCTTGCCAGTACATTTTTTATGGTGACACTAAAATGTCTCTGCCTCGGCTAAAATCGAAACTTGAGAGCCTTGGCTACAATGTGCTGACAACGTTGTAAATCCAGTCACAAGCGCATATGCTTCGAAATGTGGACGTGGATGACGACAAAACAAACAT